GGGTGCTGAGCCGCCTGGCACTAAGGCTTCAGTTTGGGCAGGACTCAGCTGCACCCATCTGTAAAGAAGCTTTTTTTTATCCCTTGCTAACTTCTAGGCCTGACTGCACATCCTTGGCCGCACAACTCCCCACCGGAATGGAAAAGCAGAGGGCAACTCTCTGGGCAAGCTACAGCTCCATCCAACCCTCACCCAAGCTCTCAGCCCTCAGAGAGGACAGGGTTTGGCATTACTTGACTCCTATGTTGCCCATGTTCTCCATGGTGAGGTGCCAGGACATGTAGCTCTGCTGATACACTGCTCCGAAGCTGAGGTGTTCCTGGTCCAAGCTCATGTGGATGCTTTGTCAGGCTTTCATAACTGATGACCAGAGAGCTGATGGCACAGCCCAGCAGCCTAGCTTCAGCACAAGTGTGCCCTGTGCCGGGGCAGAGCCAACGCCAGGACCCACAGGGGAGGGAGGTGGGCACGTGCAGAGCCTCAAGGACTTGGGCTGAGGTCTCCCATCTTGACCAGCAGGCAAGGTGCCTGTGCTAGGAAATGCAGAGGTTGACAGCTCTCCTCACTCCTCTTTCTGATGAGACCTCTTGGACATGCAGAACCACGCTGCTCCCCAGCGGACCGTGAGCTCAGACACAACCACGTTACTGTGGGTTGGTGTGTCATGGCCCTGCCGTTGAGCTCCGATGGCTGCTGTGAGCAGGGGCTCCACCTCTGCCCAAGTTAGGAGGGTTATTTTTCAACAGTGACTTTGCATTTGCCGTGGACTGGGGAATTGCACACAGACAGTGACTGAGGTCAGCTAACTCGTCGCTACAACATCAATTTTCTCCAGTGTCAGAGACTTCCCAAAAATGTGCCCTGATGTCCTCCTTCCCAGTCCTGACCTACCATGAGGCTTTTCCCTGAGCCAGGCTCAGCTCCCACGTAGAGGACAAGTGTCAGACACTCATAGGGGGGTCTGAAAAGCAGAGAGGGGTCAGGGAGAAAGTCTCCAGCTGCAGCTGGGAAGATGCTTGTGGAAGTGGGCAACTGGATAGGGATGAAAAAGCAATTCATATTTTAGGGGGAAGTGATAGAGTGACTTGGTGGGTACCTGGAATTTAGCCAAAGTCAAACCATCATACTAGGACATCACATGTGCCCAGGTGAGAATCAAAGCATGAGAAAAGAGATGGGGGGAAAAGTGCTCCATCAACTTTCTTGTCTTGTTTTTAACTGAAAAGGACAGACTAGTCAGAAAAAATCACATTTCCAAGGGGAGCTCCCTTCCTGTACGGAAGAAGTCAGACATTTTCCCATGTTTGCTGGGACCTCCCCAGACCAGAGCACCCCCTGATCAGGTCCTCACCGGGACAGGTACAATGTCGCCATTAGGAAGGACCAGGGGGAGTTTTTATGAATCACCCAGCAACAGTTTTTTGAAGAGCAGCAGAGGGTTCCCCCTCTTATTGTGAAGGACCAGGCACAGGACTGTCACCTGAGGCAGATTCCCACCTCCACTGATATTGAAGGTCAGGCTCTGTGCTTTAATTGCTGTGGGGCTGCAGGAGAGGCGGAGGAGAGATCATTAGGGCTGGTACTAACCCATTCCCCACATGGCAAGCAGAGAAGCGAGTGCTGCCCACTGCGTTTTCCCTGGCAGGTTTTCTCCTGTACCCCATGACACAGCTCCCCCTTCACCCCGCTCATCCCAGCCCAATCAGGGCCATTCACAAGAGGAATCTGCTCTGAAGAGCCAGAGCCTTCCAGGACAGCAGTTAAATATGATTTCACTTCATCGAATCATGCAGTACAGCACGTAAATAATGAGGCAACAGATGAGATGTGGCAAATTCGCTGGCGGCGATGAAAGACATATGCAAAAAGCACAAGCACAGCATGAAAACAGTATAAAAGCAAGATGGGGAAAATAAATAAATAACACCATCAGTAAAGTTTATTTCCAAGGACACTGAAAAAGGAATTGCTTGTTACGGCAGATATCTGCCTTATCTCCTCCCAGACTAAAGGGTTGGGGAAGAGCAGATCAGAGCCTCAGTACACAGGTCCCAGGACAGAGGAACTGGGCTCCTCTTTTACAAGGGGTCCAATCACACCTTTAACATCAAATATCTTAGTATATGCCCAGTAATCACATTGGATCATCTCATTTTAGCACATGCAAGGGGGAAACATCTAATCCTTTGTCCATGGAGAGCCCCAGCTCAGCTGTTGCATGTCTCCATTTTTTTCTGATTCAGTAGCTTTCAGTGGGCTACCTAATATTACCCTGTCCTCATAGTTACTCACACAAACTAAACTAAGACTTTTCTGATCTGCTCTATCTAGTAGTTACTGCTTCCTACAGGATCTAATGCTAAGTACCCTGCTTAGGGCTACTAAGTTAGGGTTAACGAGAGGTCTGCATTCTCCCAGAGGAGAGGCAGCTGTCAAAAAGGTCATCCCCAAGGTTTCCCAGGGTGAGTTACCCTGCCTGAACATGAAGGGAAGCCTCAGAAGTGCACTGGTAGTTCTGCATCGTTTGCGGAGTGAAGGTCACCATGGCAAAGGCGCGGGAGCAGCTGGGCACACACATCTGAACGGGATCCAACTCGAAAATGTCGCTAATGTGGCTGTTAGGCTTTGGGGAATCCACAGAGCGGTGTTAGGAGGAAACATCCTTCAGTGTGATGCAGTCTTATTCATCTATGCATCGTGGGGAACAGCCCCGACAGCGTGTCTTCCTTCCTGCTTCCCTGGGTGGTGTGATGGTTTTAAGCCCTGCCGGGACCAGAGACCACGTTGCCGATGTCCCTCCCCCACCCTCGGACACAAGTAGGGCACAAACCCCGGGTTAAAATAAGAAGAAATTTAATACAACAGTGTAATAAGCAATCTGAACAACAACAGTAGCAATGATAACAACAATAAACAGCAACAACAGTAAACAAGACAAAAGATATACAGAGAAATAACGCAATGGATACAGACAGCTCGCTCGCGATGCTCCCCGCGACCAAAGCCACAAAGGAAAAAGCTTGCGGGACCTGACTTCAGCATGGTATGAATAACCCGGCTGGAGATCCTTTTCCCCTCTCTGCTGGGAAAACTTAACCCTATCCTAGCTGAACCAGGACAGGTGGGCTCCTTCTGTCCTGGGGGGTGACTCCAAAGCAGTGCTGCCATAAAGCCCAGGCATGCAAAAGCTCGCTTTGAGCGCTGGGCAGCCATCCCAGCACCCATGGGAGCTGGGGACTGCATAGAAAGCCCTGCAAAGAACCTAGAATTGGCCTTAAAGAGAAGGAAAAGACCAGGGAGCCTGAGGAAACAGTCTGCTTTGAGCCCTGGTACATCAGCCCAGCAAACCCCCGCTCTGAGCGTGCTCAAATAAAACTCAAATTATTTGCGGTAGCGATGGACCAGAGCTGACTCAGAGACCCGGCTGGTCCTGGAGCTCCAGATCAAGTGAGAAGATCTGGTTCCCTACTGAGCTCCTGGTCTGTATGAGATCACTGGCTCAGTGATCACAGGCTGCACGTATGTTTGGGATCCACCTAAGTTTCTGCAACTTGAACAGCAGCAGATTGCACCAAACGGGTATTTTCAAAGAAATTCCCTGAAGCAGAGAAAACATCTGTCACCCCCCACAAAGTCTTCTCTGCCACCCACACCTGGGCTGGACAACACATTATACTGTCAAAAATCTCAATCTGTTTTTAACAACTAAGGGAAAATACTACTGGCAAAATGAAACTTAAATGTTCCTTTGACAAACAATGCCACCTCCTTTCTGGTTTCATTTATGAGGGGAGGAAATTCAGACTTCTCAAGGCTCAATTATTACCCATCGAAGAATGCTGATTCATTTGTATTTGCTCTAAACTTAAGAGGGAAATTTTAACCATATACTTGTCTCTTCCATCCACCTCTCTACCTATCTAGGTGTTGGAATTTGCCTTCACAAATGTGGGTGTCTGTACATTTTACTGGGTCCAAATAGTTCTGTCTGTCCACATATGTGTATGTTTTGTGTTTACACACGTGTACATGCTTTGATTTAGGGTACCTTGTAGTAAGTTAGCGTGAAACTTGTCATTCTCGAATCTATAGTTACATTGCTGTTTTAATTATAACATATTCTGCCAAATCACCTTGTTAATCTTTAAACTGGTCCATCGTGAAGTGCTGCTAAAATTCAACCTTTTGATCTACCTCATAACATTAATAAAACTTAAATTGCTGCTAAATCATAACTGTGTCAAATGTTTCACGGCAACATTACCTGTCCCCTGCCTTTTCTCAAGGACACAGGGAGGCAAGAATGGGGTGAACATGGCCTGGCAATCTGCTCTTTGCCATTTGCTGCTTTGCACAGTCACGTGCAGAAGATGGAAAAATTACCGAGGAGAAGCCTGTCTGGGCTGTGTCTGCCCTCGGGAGGATTTTAAGTTTGTGCTTTTGGTGCTGGGAAGGAGCAAATATAAGATAGCTGGTGGTATTAGACCTGGTCCTACTGGCTGAACAACTTACCCAATCCTACTCTTTGTGGTTAAGGGACAAAGGGGACATCCTGATTCTTTCCCCAGTCCATGGTAGGCAGATATGAGTTTGCTTTGGCTGCACTCAGGGCTGGTAGGGGATGCCTGTGACTTTTACGCCGCAAATCCTCCAGCAAGCTGGGGAATGGCTGGTTGCTAAAAGCATGGGCTTCCCGTTGGAAGTGTTGAGAGCAAAACCAGTGAAAAACTGCAAAATCCACAGTTGCTGAACACCTGGTGCCTAGAGCAGGCACAGGGCAGTGTGAAGATGCGGTGGTTTGTTTTGCCATGGCCCCAAGGAAGAGCGCAAAGCAAGGTGGAAGCTGTGTGGTCCCGTTCTTCCGCTCTTCCCAACAAATATTTTGCACAACTACTCGGAAGTTATACCAAGAAATGTTTTGTGCTACAACTCAAAGGTACAGTGGATTGACCCCAGTCCCACCCACACATCCATGCACACTTTCAGGCAATCTCAAGGAATATGTACATGTCTGAAAAGAATAAACTTATTTGTGCATCTGACTGTTCCTTTTGAACGTGGCTGGACCTACAGCATATGAGTTGTTTGTGCATCTGGTGTCAGACCTATAGTCATGGCAAGAATTGGCCTATCTATTAAAAGATAAGTCCAGCTGCCCCTAGCCCCTCTGATCTTTCAGGAATGGCTAGGACGCAAGGGGATTTATTTCTTACCATCATCATCTTAAACAAAACACAATGTGAGTAAAACTTGATGGGGAACTTGCGTGGGTTCTTCAACACCACCGTCCCCTCTGTTCCACGGCTGTACAGCAGCAATGGTCCCAGCTCAAGCACCGGGGGGCTGAACTCCAGCTGTGGCTCCAGCCCACGCCCCGAGACCTGCAGCTGGAGGTACTGGCTGCTCTGGCCAATCTTCAGCTCGCTTTGGTAGGACTTTTGAAAAGAGAGAAGCACAGAAAGCTCCTCCATCAAGTAAGTCCCAGGTGACAGGGCCTCAAATTCAACCCTTGTCCCAAGGGCAGGGCTGTCACCAGGACCTCTAAGGGGAATGGAACACAGAGACTGACTTAGAGCAGGGCCTACAGCACCTGCATGCAGTAACTGGGATGAGTCCTGGTGTGAAGTGTAACTGGATATTTGGGTGTCAGATGAATCCAAAATGGACCATCTGGTGTTTTCACATAGTCACCAGGGAGCACGATGCTCATGAGGGTTATGCTGCCCAGACACACTCCTGGCACTGCTGCATCAGGCAAACCTCAGCTCCATGAACGAGGCAGATGAGCTCTCACTGCCTAGAAATAAGGGTTGACTTCTCTGCTGAGTGTTTGGCTCTGGTCAAAGCCAGACACAAGATGGTTACATCTCTACTAGCAATTAAAACATCCCTGGCACTGTTCCTAGGCACAAAAGCACTTGTGTCCATCCTGCTACACACTGCCAGTTTCCAAGTCACGGTGGCCACAGGCAAACTGCCTTTGGGAATGCTCCATCGTTTCAGCTGACTCCCAATGCCTGGGAACAGGCAGGCAGGCTGGGCCAGAGCCACAGGGACTGCTGGCAGCACACCACTCCAGGCGACCATCCTGCCGTGCCCAGGAAGGTGCCTGCTGGCTGTTTTGCCTGCTGGTACCAGCAGCAGGCCTTGCCTAGATTGGCCTTTCCAGGGTTATCGCCTGTGAACACACCAACTGCTCTGCACCAGGGTGGTGCAGCCTGCAAATAATCCTGTGCAAGGGGGAAGACGAGGGCAAACAGGCAGCCACCCCACCCCACAGTGCCCTGATGCACTCTGAGCAAGCTCCCCAGGCAGATTTCCAAGCCCCTCTCAGAAGAGTGTGCTGCAGGGGAAACTGAAGCACAGGGGGTACGAGGCTTGCAGAAAGCCCTCTGTGGAGGCAGACCTCATCTCCTCCTCCCTGTGCTGGGCTCTTGTTACCACACTGCCCTGCCAGACCTCCTGGGGGGTGACACTCACCCATCTCACCTCTTCCGTGGGTGAAAACCTGACTCACGTGTTGCATCGCTGTCCTGCAAGGGCAGCGCCTTGAAGACACGGGGCTGGGCCTTCAACTTCTGGGGCAGCTTCTGACACACCCTCACTGGCCAACATTTGCCCACCTGAGCACAAAAACCAATTGTGTGAGGTCTCCTTGGTCTGCGAGGACAGACCCTTGGTTCCTGCAGTGCTGAGACACTGTCAGGCCATAGGGATGTCCTGGCTGGCAGCTCTGTGAAGGACCCCTTTGTACCTGTGGAGAAGCCTGCCACTCTTTCTCCCTTGTCACCACACAAGGAGAAAGGGTTTTCATAGCCAGAATTTAAGACCCACATGGTAAAAAGGAAACATGAGAAACTCTGGCAATTCCTTCCTCAGGCATCCCAGGGAAGGATGCGCAGACCTCTCCAAAGGAGAATTTCCCACTAAGATTCCCCCATGCCATGGTGCTCCCTGAAAAACAGTTTAAACACCTGACCGCCCTTCAGACACAGTGAGTCACCACTTGATGGTACTGCAGCCTCACCTCAGGGCCTGTTTCAGAAGCCTGTTTCGATACAACAGAGGACCTCACAGGCTGTTTTCTCAATAAAGACTGAACAGAACTGCTATGGCATTACGAACTTTAAACAAAGCGCTTCCAAACCATAAAGGGTCCATCTCTTTGCAACACAGGCCCATAAAGTGCACAAAGAAACTCACATGATGCTCATGGTAGCCAAGAGTAGAAGATGTTGAGAGGTGACCAAGGTGACCAGCCCATCTGGCCCCTACAATGATGTGTTAGGGCGGGCACAGGCAGCTTGAGCGCTGAGCGCTGCTGGCCAGGAGAACTCAGGCTCTAAGGCACCAGGCAGAGGGTCCCAAGGAGGAAAAAGCTATACAGACAAGCACTCAAAAAACTCCCCGTGTCCAGCGGCTGAAGTTCATTTGTCAGAGACAGCTCCTTCAAGCCCACGTGAAGTCTCTGCAGCTCAGCTTTGAAAGGAGTAAGGACAGTCCTTAAACCAAATTCCCAGGAGTGTGGAAGATGCAAATAAAGTGGGTATTTCTGTATTCCCTGCTGTAAAAATTCAACTCAAGCCCGTGAAACCCAAGGCTTGATCACCTAGTATTAAGACTTTGGTAAGTCACAGGGAATGTAGCTCCTAGGTTTTATCAGCTACCAATGGGACCTTAAAATAAAACCAGTTTAAAATGGATACTGGTCACAGCTCCTCTGCTATGAAAAGCAACTGAAACAGTGAGACCTCCACTGGTCTCAATGAAACTGCTAAGCCTGGTGTACAGCCCCAGCCTGAAATTGCTTCAGGACCTTGCCATAAGATTTGCCTGCACAGGAAATCTTCACTCTCTGCAACCAGACCTGTCCCCAGATCAGCAGCAGCAAATCCAGTGATCAATGCCTACAAGATTCATGGGAAGGTCCTTTTCCAGAGCAATCACTCTCAGGAAAGCACATACGTGATCTGTTTTGTAGAGCATCTTCTTCCTGAACTGGAGCCTACTGTGCCCGTGCCTCCTCATGAAGGAGCAGAGGGAAGCACCAAGTTACCGAGGTAAGCCCTGCAGTCCCACCACCATACATGCCACCCAATTTAGGGTTTGTCAACCTGTGTGTTTCCCTGCTCTTTTTGCTCAGCGTCATCTGTTAGCTGGAACAAAGATGCCAGCTTTGAGTTGCCTGTTTCAGAGCTGGTCAGCAAGGATGGTGTTGGTGCTGTCTGGAAGGGCTTGATGTTCTGCACTGGACGCCCTCAGCCCTAAGAGCAGAACCCAGCATCTGCAGGGAGCTGAGCACCTCCAAAGCTCGGGGTGGCTCAGTGGAAGTGAGGACACTCAGCTGCTCACAGGGAGCACATCAAAGCTACCAGGATCAGACCCTTTCTGAAGTCCCCAGCTCATCCCAGCTCTGCAGACACAAGGAGCTCTCAGGAGCAGGGGTGCACTGCTGGGTGTTACCCTCGGGGCACCTGGAGATAGGGTACAGGAGCTCCTACTAACTTGAGAAGCCTCTGACGAGCGTGCTGGTCAAAGGCAGTGCCTTCTGGGGGACCAGAGGTGAGAGCTTTCTGCTGCTTCAGGGTGTGTTCCTCTATTAGCATCTGCTCTATCTGCATCTGCAGCCTCATCAAGCCAGGAGCAGCTGAGATCGGACCTGGTGCAAATCAAGTATGGGTATGTCCACGCCATCCGTTGAGTGTGGGTCCAAGCCTACCCACAGATGAGACACGGCTTCCATCTGCACTTCCTACACGCAAATTTGCAGGGGGAAGCTGAGTGCACCCAGCACTCAGTCCTGGAAGAGACCTCAAGGGCATTTTGCACCCTTGTGCCAGCGCAGCTTTGCTCACTCCTGCCCAAGGAATGTGCCAAGAAACCCACGCCTCGACAAGTTAGGTTCTTCAGGACAAAACCAGGAACACAGCTGCAAGTGAGAAGTATCAAAACCTCGAAATTAAGGACTTAGAAAGGGCTTGGCACAACCATCCAATTTCAGAGAGTACTTAGGTTTCATTTCATGCAACCATCAGTGCTGGAGAGCTGAGGATCCCCACCAGGTCATTCTTCTTGAATAACACTTTCCTGAAGAAGTCAGCCAAGATGCTCTTCTGTCCTGCAGCAGCTGAAAGCTGGTGTTTGACCTCAGAGGTGCCATCTTTCAATAGGAACCTCATCCCTGGGCTTCTGACCCTAATTTAGTAAGTGAGGGCTTTGTCAGTGCTCCTCAAATGTAATAATACCTGCTTCTTCAGTAATGGGAAGATGTGCTTTGTGCTGGAGCCTTGACATCAGCAGAATCTGCAAGAATATTTATGGGACACCTTTACCACTAATCAGAGGCTACATCTCCCCAGTAGATAAAGGACTGGGGAGGGCTGAGTCTTCTCATGTTTCAATACTCCTTCTCTCATCTCCACGTTTTCAAACCTAGCAAAGCTTTGCCAAGCACGTGTTCCCAAAGATGTTAACCCACATCTTTCCTAGGCCTATGATCTCCCACCTCCCCAGGAAGGCTACATGGTGATACAGTGACACAAGCAGAAGATGAAGCTGCAAATCCAGACATATCCTTTGAAGCAATTCTGGATCCTACTTAGCCATATTTACTTGAATTTCTCTAGTTTATTTGTGCATACATGGAAACAAAGCCGGAAATAAAGATCATTTCATGCTTATATCTGAAAACATTCAGCCACACTATTCTTTACGTCTACAGGGTATAATTTCTTCTGATTCAGAAAAAAAAGTGCAGAGTTATAATGTTAAAACAACTGGTATTTGGATGTGAGCAGGTGCAACCCTTCTCCTTGAACTTAATGCCAACATCAGCACTTTCAGAACCTCCTGTGCTTCCTTATATCCTTCTTTATTGCCGCAGGAGCAGCTTCTGTCCCACACAATGCAGAACAAGGCACCAGGTTCACCCAGAAGGTCAGATGACCAAAGGCCATTTTCCATGCCAGGAGGAAGAGACAGTGACTTTGCAAAGTCTCATTTTATCAAAGACAGCTTTGTGGCCATCACTGCAATACTGCAGGTCTCAGGTGAAGGTAGAGATGTGAAAATGGGCAACTCTAGCTGGGGTTTATAAGGTGTTACATGGAGACCACAGTACTTGGCACAGCTTGATACAGGAAGGAAACTGGAAGCCTTCACATCACGATGCAGATAAAAGCCTCATTTTACAGTGTAAAAAAACAAGCCGAAAAAAATATCCCAAACTCAGCATAGGTCCGTACAGTCTGAGTGGGCTTCTCCAAGCAAAACCATCCTGTTTCTCCCTCTGCAGAAGCCCGGTGTCCAGCCACTGGACAAGGTTCAGCTCCCTGCTGTGCCACGGGTATTCCCTGGTTGCAAAACAACGGCTCCAACTGCACCTTGTGCTAAAAGGGCAGCAGCTCTGCTGAAACAAGGTTATAACCAACGTGGCACATACCAATGGAGTGATTACCTCCCCAGTGGTTTCTAAATGCAAACCCTTGGAGGACCAATTTGGCAAATGATTCAGCAAAGCAGTTCAACAGAGCTGAATTGAT